GGGGAGGGCTCAGAGCAGGGAGGATATGGGGTGCAGGATTCAGGGCAGGCGGGCTGGGTCTGTGTAGGGGGTCAGTGTAGTGGGGGCAAAGGTACCATTTCAGGGGATGGGGGCTGCAGCAGCACATGCCAGGTCACTGCTGCTTTTCCTGCTTCTTGTTTCCTGTGACTGGGGAGGAGGGAAAGTGCAGATCTTGCTGTGTTCCTCTCACTCCCAGCTGCCGAGGGGAGGGGCAGAGGAGGAACACAGTGGGCTCTGCACTTTCCCCTTGCTCCCTAGTCACAAGAAGCAGGAAAAGCAACAGTGACCTCATGTGCAAACGCAGCCCCCCTGCCTCCCAAAATGGTGGAGGTAGGGGAGGGGACTCAGGGCTGGGGCAGTCTCGGGGGGGTGCCCCCCCAGCCCCAGTCAGCCTCTCTAACCTCCCTGGCTGCCTGCTGCTGAGTGCAGCAGCTTACAGTTCACCACGAGCCAGGCTGGGAGCACCCCCACCTCTTCCCTCCCACTGTAGTGGAGTGCCCCCGCCACCCAGCTTCTTGCTGGAATGGCTCACCAGGGTGCACCAGCTTACTTTCACCTCTGGTGACAACTGACAGCGACTGAGGACTGTCCCTACGGAGAGGAAAGGCCTTCTAGTAGGAGGTAATAGCAGTAGTGTAAGGTCAATTCAGTTTACATGCCAAATAGATAGATCTGTTTTATGATTGACAAGCTCTGGACAAGGCCTCTCAAGGACTTTGCTGGTATCACCGAATCGCCTTCGCCAATGGCTGCTCTTTAAAGTAAATGGTGCATTCACATACTAACATTACGTACTCTGTGGACATAGGACACCAACTTGCAATGTTTACTCACCTGTGCCCAGGGCACACAACTTTTTTTTTCTGACTGGCAGGTAAAGCATCATTTTTTTTTCCTATTACAATTCTCCTGGAACGTAGACAAGCCTCAGCTGGAATCCAGGCTCCATTTGCATGAGTACAGCCAGAATGAGCATCTAGCCTGGACCCGACAGGTTAATTAGACAAGACAGCGGAAAGGAAACATCGTTATCCCCATGAGGTAGCTCGATGAGACTGTGATTTACCCAGATGCACACAGGAAATCTGTAACAGTTCCGGAACTGAACCCAGATTTCAGGGCTTTTACACCAAGTCCATCTTCTCTCATTTTGTGCCTGATCCAGGCCATTTTCATACCCGTGTCGCAAGGCAGCTCTATAGCGCGTCCACCACAGTGGCAGCTGAATGCGTTTTTTTTATGCACATCCATCTGATGCAGTACAGGGACATGCCTGCCTGAGCTCAGATCAGCACAGTGCATCTCAACACAGCCACAGGGAGCTTGGGGCACTTCAGACACATCGTTAGGGGGCAAAGTCTCGTATCACTGACACACGTGCCTCCATCCTGCAGTAGTGAGGGCGGGGGGATGAGGAGATGCTGAGCTGTGCAGGGTGCTATCAAAGCGAGTTAACTTTCTATGTTGGGCAGAGCGCTTGCTTACCTCCCCTGGGAAAGATGGGCAGGAATCTAGCCGCACCGAATCCAGGAACACGTTTCATTGCCGAGGTACCAAGGAGAGAGGTGGGGAAGCTGCCTCAGCTGGTGTCTGTGAGCGTGGCAATGAAGCTCACCCAGCAGAAGGATTTTTGAAGGCTCTACAAGGAGATGCAGAAAGGGACGGCAAAGTACTGTTGCCCAGTTAGGGGCCAGAGTCCAACACGTAGACATGAGGGCTACGTCTACACTGGCATGATTTTTCGAAAATGCTTTTAACGGAAAAGTTTTCCATTAAAAGCATTTTCGGAAAAGCACGTCTAGATTGGCAGGGTGCTTTTCCGCAAAAGCACTTTGGTGTCTCTCTTGGTTTGCCCCGGGTTGGCTCCACCCATTTTTAGAGCAGCACCAGCAGGAAGGAAAGCCACTTGGTAGGAAAGCCAAGGAGGCTGCAACCCCTGCTCCATATGGGCTGACAGTAACAGGAGTAGTAGGGGTTGCAGTCTGGGAGTGAGGCTGGTCCCCAGATTATTGGAGCTTGCAGAGGGCTGAGCGAATGGTTTGCATTATGGAACTTGCTAGGCATGGAGAACGTCTTTTCTCTGCTCATGATCGGATTGCAATTTCTTCTGCTTAATTAATGAATCATCTCGGAGTTCTCGAATTCATCGCAAGTACTCAGTGGCTATGTCTAGACTGGCATGATTTTCCGCAAATGCTTTTAACGGAAAAGTTTTCTGTTAAAAGCATTTGCGGAAAAGAGCATCTAGATTGGCATGGACACTTTTCTGCAAAAGCACTTTTTGAGGAAAAGTGTCCGTGCCAATCTAGATGCACTTTTCCACAAAAAAGCCCCGATCGCCATTTTCACGATCGGGGCTTTTTTGCACAAAACAAATCTGAGCTGTCTACACTGGCCCTTTTGCACAAAAGGACTTTTGCCTGAACGGGAGCAGCATAGCATTTCCACAAGAAGCACTGATTTCAGACAGTAGGAAGTCAGTGTTCTTGCGGAAATTCAAGCGGCCAGTGTAGACAGCTGGCAAGGTTTTCCGCAAATTGCGGAAAAACTTGCCAGTCTAGACATAGCCAGTGTGATGAGGTGGGGGATGGTATTCGCTCTGTTCACTTCATGTTGCATGTGATTTCTACTGTCCTGTAGTAACCCCATGCATGTGCCTCAGTTTCCCTGGGTACTGCATCAACAGCAAGGCGGTGATGGGAATTTCGGTGTGACCGCCTCCCTCTTGTACACAATGGCTGATGCTTTCTGTAGCCAGAGTCTGGGAGGGGGGTGTAACCAGTCACACGTTTTGCCCTGGAAACTGGACAAAGGCTGGAGGCCGGGCTGGCTGCCAGGGGAGACAGGCTGCTGGGTGTGTGAGTGAGTCTCGCTGGCATGGGGTGCAGAGCTGGGGGGGCAGGGCACTTGGCTCTGAGCTCTTTCTCCCCAAGATGGATAGTACTGACTGTTCCTGGTTCCTGTGCTAACAAGTCTATTTGACACAGTGTCCCTGTGAATGAATAAACCTTCTGGTCTACCTGCTGGCTGGGAGTCACACCTGGCTGCAGATGGGGGTGCAGGGCCCGGTGACTCCCCCACTCCTGGGTGACAGTATTCATGCTTATGCTGCTGGGTAGGGATTGCTCACAAAAGCCACGCAGAATTCTGGGGCCTGAGGGGAGGAGCATCTGAGCAAATACCGGTCGGTGCAAATGTAACCTTCCGTTTCTGTGCATTCTCACACAACGTGCAGCCCAAATAGGCACTTTCCACAATCCACTGGTGAGTTTCCTCTGGTGCCAGCAGCGTCTGACTGTGTGAGTATTTGCAGAAAGCACACGTACCAGCCATCTTGGTCTGTCACAGGGGGGTACGCAGCACCTCCCCCACTGCTAAAGAATGAGCCTCAGCAGCAGCTTTGGCTAAAGGACAAAGCCCCTTAGCTGGGATCTGTAGCTGACCCTCGGCCTCAGTGGATGCGCAAGAGAGGAGGACACATAACACTGATGGAACAGCAGGAGACCAAACACCCTCAGGGCATAAGAAGGCCGAGGTGAATTTTGTTGCATGTGGGTTGCATCATTCACCTGGCTGTGCTCCTGCGGGGTTGCCAGTGGCTGCACTGGGGATACCTGGGAGGTGACATTTTTCCCAACAAAGCAATGCTGACCCTTTTCCCAAATACCCGTGGACTGTGTGGCAGGCAGCAGGCAGCGCAGGCTGGCAGTCTAAGGGACTACTGCCATGCCAAGAGCAAATGGACTGTGTCCTGAACAGGCTGCTCTTTAGCAACCCCTTCTGGTAGAGGCAAGGGCCAGGTAGGGCAGCTGTGAAAGCAGTGGTACTCACTCTGCTGGTAGAGAGAGAGGTGGCATGTGGCAAGGAGACTGCATGTAATGGAGATCTCTCTGCTCTGAAGATACCAGATGGGCAGAGGAAAGCCTTGACTGACTCAAAATATATTTTAAAGCACGCTACCCTCAAGGTACCCAGGCATCTCTGGCCAGCTGTGCTAGCCTCGCTCCCACAAATTCCTCCACCATTCAGTACAGCGACAGACAAGGCAGTGAATGCAGCTGGAGTGTGTGCAGCTAAATGATGGAATTCACATCTGGAATAGAACACAAACAACAACCCGGGCTCTTAGCTGTTCTTTAGGTCCACGTGTTACCACCCATGCTGAGCCATTTGCAGTCACTACAACCAGCTTCGGAAGATAAGAGTTAAGGGTGTGTTGCAGAGGTGTGTGAATATAAACTTTCCATTTCCTGGTTTTCAGAGGGTTAGATTTAGCTGCCCTACAGCTAGTGCTAATGAAATTTTGAGGCAGTTAATACAGGATACTTACCCATCTGTTTCCTTCAGAGCTTCCCAAACTTCCTTTGGAGCTTTCATCCAGGGAACCAGGAAATAACAGGAGTCCCATGTTCAGGAGGTGTAGCATGTTTCTGCACTGGACAGTAGATTCACAGTTATGATGTAAGCAACAACCCTGCAATGAAGAGCAGAGAGAATTTTCCATCACCATTTTCTGGGCTTTCTAATTAAAGTTGCTCTTCTGGGATTGCTACTGAAACAAAGATATGTGATCCAAACATAAATACTGTATATTTTAATAAAATAATATACATAATTTAATTGGAAAGAAAGAAAGAAAGAATTGCCCAGTAATTAGAGTTTGGAGAAGTCCCTGGCTGGGATTCAAAGGAAGGGCATTCTGAGTCTGTTCATTATGTCATTTGCAGCTGCAAGCAGAGTCCAGAACATTAGATGGATGCTTTTGCCTTCTGTAGCTTAATAGAAATGAAACTTTTACTTTCAAGAAGATCATGTGATTTCCAGGAAAGGAAGTTCCATATTTGGGCAGGACCAGCAGAAAGCACTTGCATCACCACTACTAGAAATATGCCCTGATAAGTTTCTTGTTGTTGTTTCATTAACCACACCCATCTCAAAAGGAAATCCACTCCTATTGGTCCACGGCTGTGATTCCAGGGTCTCTGTGGCCAATGAGCTGGGCTGACAGCATATTACAGAAGAGTATAAAAGGGAGAATCATAGCTGGAAATGCTTTGATATTTCAACTATTCACAAATCCCATGGTAGCATCCTCTGGTAACAGCAAAGGTAACATCTGTTTTTTTACTGATGCTATTAACTGATCAGAGCTGGGGAGAAGTGGGAGGAGGGAAAGGAAAATAAATTTAGAAGCTTCTTGGGGGAGAAAAAGCAAGCAGGATTAATCACAATCCCTTAAAGCAGCTTTCAGTAGCTTCTCTGGAAACAATAGTGCAGTTTGAGTGGCTGTCAGGGGGTGCAAAGGATGGCTGGATTTCTTGGTAATTGGTGCAGTAGGGAGTTGTGTGTGTTTGTGTCACATTTGATGCCAGTGCTGCAAATTCACTTGCAGGATGTAAGCTAGAGGCATTGCCTTTCTGCGCTCTTGTGCAATTACTGTTGCTTTACAAATACCGCTCCTCCTCCTCCTTTCCTGTGGTTTGCAGACGTGCTCTGAGGCTTGTTCACCTAGATCTGCAGAGGCCTTTGAGATCCTCACCTGAAAAGCATGCAGATGTGTCTTTCAACGTGCTAAATATATTATGACTGACACACATACTTCATTCAGCCTGCAGCTGTGGCTTCCCCCTTCCTCCTTTCCTGAGTCACCAATACTTTACTCAGCTGTATTGCAGCCTGTTTGCAGTTCAGAGCAGGGAGGCAGGAGTAACATTTTTGTTTCAGTGCTTTAGTAGGTGTTGAAATTTTACGTTGTTTCCTCAGCTAGGCTATTTTACATTGTTTCCTCAGCACTTATTGTTGTTTACTCGGGTGAGAGTAACTTAAATTTCTGACAGGCATTGTCCTGTCGCAACCCAAGAGAGGTTGGGGTGAGGCGGGGGCATTGCCATACAATTGTACATTGGAGAAATTTAAGAGTGGGGTGGAGCATGGGGGGCTCAGGGCAGAGGGCTGGGGGTGTGTGGGGGCATCAGGACAAGGGACTGGAGATGTGGGGAGTATATGAGGGGCTCAAATCAGGGGCTTGGGTGTATGTGGAAGGGTTCAGGAGGCAGGGCAGGGGACTGGGATGGAGGGGCCCTGGGCCTGGGTTAATTTACCTGGCCAGGAATAGGTCACTGCAGCTAGTCAGCTGCAGCCTGACAGGGACCAAACCAGGATCACCCCAGCCTATTCCCCCTATCCTCCTACCCTTGCTGCAGCCAGATGGGGGGCTATCTCCAACCCCTCCCATGGCAGGTTAGGGGACAGGGCTGGGCTGCTGCGGCTGCTGCCAGTCAGAGTCTGATGCCATTCTCCCCCCTCCGCCCCAAACCTCCACTCTTGCTGGAGCACAGCCAGCTCTTGCAGGAGCGGCACACTGGGGGGCACCCACTTACTTTCACCTCACTTAGCATTTACACTGCAATTGACATTTTCAGAAGCGTTTCAGGAAATCACTTCATGAATCTCAGTAGCATGTGACATAGGTTGGAATCATTGATCCCATTACACAGATGGGAAATTGAGGCCTAGAAAGGTGGTGCTGGGGCACAGGGGGACGAATGCACGTGGAGGTATGCAGGCAGTGATAGCATCAGGATTAGAATCTAACATCGCCTGACTCAAATACCTTGTGGCTTCATCTGCAGAAGCACCTCCGCTCCCAGTAAGGGAAATTTGATTTTGCGTGGATGGGACAGGCTGTCACAGGATTAGGTTGACTCAAGAGCCAGGTGTTAAGACAGTCCTGCGATAGCTTGGCTATCTTCTCTACTGAAGATGGGTACCAACAAGGAAATAGGGTCGGGGGACTGTTCTTGTGTAACATTGGAATACAGTGGAGAGTACAGTATTGCACAAAATGCAGGAGATTTTTCTTTAACTCAGGGTATGCTGGGGGGTTCAGCATGTCTGCAAGTCCCTTCCCCTCTCTTGGTGTTAGGAACAGGAAGCCAGAGAGGAGCAGTATGAGAAACACCCCAGCACATCATGCTAGGTATTGTTCCCTCAGCAGGAGTATTGTCCATTAGACCATAAACTCTTAGGCTACGTCTAGACTGGCATGATTTTCCGCAAATGCTTTTAACGGAAAAGTTTTCCGTTAAAAGCATTTGTGGAAAAGAGCGTCTAGATTGGCACAGATGCTTTTCCGCAAAAAAGCCCCAATCGCTATTTTCGCGATCGGAGCTTTTTTGCAGAAAACAAATCTGAGCTGTCTACACTGGCCCTTTTGCGCAAAGGCTTTGCGCAAAAGGACTTTTGTCTGAACGGAAGCAGCATAGTATTTCCACAAGAAGCACTGATTTCTTACAGTAGGAAGTCAGTGCTTTTGCGGAAATTCAAGTTGCCAGTGTAGACAGCTGGTAAGTTTTTCCGGAAAAGCGGCTGATTTTTCCGGGAAAAACTGGCCGGTCTAGACACAGCCCTAGGGTACATCTATACTGCGGGGATTTTCTGGGATACCAGAGGTATCCCAGAAAAACTCTGCCGCGTCTAGGGAATGCATTTGCTCTTCTGCTTCTTTTGCAGAAGTGCAAAGGCACACTTTCAGAAGCCCTGTCAAAGGGATCATCCGAAAGAGGGAGATTTTCCAAAATTTGGCCCCATGTAGACGGACCAAATTTCAGAAAAGCCTCTTCTGGAAAAAAAAATCTGAAAAAGCTACGCCAAATGCGGAGTGCATTTGGCATAGCTTTTTCTGAGAAAAAAGCTGTAGTGTAGACCTAGCCTCAGAGGGAGACACTGTGGGACTGCACCCAGGTTACAGATGCAGTGCAAACCCTAATGACTTGGTCTACCAGCAAAGCCATCTGCATGCTCCCCTCCTTTTCCCTGAGACCGGTATCTCCTGGGGGTTCTTACCAGGCAGTGGAGCGCCACACAGTTCTCACTGCCGTGGCACACCCCTGAGAGGGCTCGGTGTCACCCCAAATCACCTCCTGGGTTAGCATCACAATGGCGAATGTGAGAGACTCTGTGGACATCTCCCTCTGGTTTCCACAGGTCATACTTGGAGGTTTCCTGTCTGTCAGCAAGAATTCCATCAGTAGCAACGTGTGAACGCCGTCACCCTTCCTTCCACAACTAACCTGAGACTGGCTGCGCGATGGCGGCTTCAGAGAATGGGGGGTAAGTGGGTCTTGACATGGGTGCTGTCAGTGTGACATGGATAAGCTATACAAGCTATAAAAAGATAGGGTAACCTGCACAGGCTTGCTGTAACCATTGCTGGAAGGCTTGAGAGAACACACCTCCTAAGTAGGCGGATCCCACTACCCCCACCACTACTTTTTTGCGGGTGTCATGTGGGCAGCAAAGGCAGCCATGCCTGGCTAATATCTGCCCAGAAACTCTAACTGGAGCTGTCATTCATGTGATCTGCTGCTTACTTTGGGATGGATGCCAGGCCCCTTACTAGGTGTTCTTTTAATTAAGGAGGGAGGAGCAGCTTGAGGTCATGTCTCCACTGCAAGAATAAATTGATGCTGAGCATCAGCATCTGGTTGCCTCAGCCTGTGATGAAGGCTGCTATGCTACAAGCACAGGAAATGGCAAACCCTCTTGAGCCCCGTTTTGTCAAACCGACTCCGTGCATTTGGATGGAATGGTGCTAACACCGGTGGGTCAGATCCTCCACTCTTCAGCCCTGTTGTCACAGATGGAACAGCAAAGCCTTTCTCTGGGAGCGCTGATATTCCTTGATCACTGTTGGTCGCAGGGGTGGGTCTTGAGTCTGTCACTGACCAATAGGCCTGTCATAACCTCTGTCTTGGTCGTTACAGTGGGACTCAACAATTACGTTTTGCCAACTGGCTGATCAGTCAGATCAAGAGTAGAAACTACGAAGGGCTCTGCTGGGTAAATGAGGCCCAAATGAAGTTTCGCATCCCCTGGAAACACACTTCTAGGAGAGACATCACCACTAATGACTACAAAATTTTCAAGGTAGGATTCAAAATGATTCTTTTTCCCCCATGGTCCCTGCCACATCTCCTGCAGTTGCAAGTCCCAGGCAAGGGCATAACTTTGGATTTACACCAGGTAAGTAACTAAAAGTAATTGACTAAATGGTCAGTGTGGATGCCCTGACGTTGCTTTGTGACATTTGCCTTACAATGGTGTGTCACTGTGTGATGACCTTGCATTCTAAGGAGGCAACGCAGTCACATTGTGACACTAGGCAGTAGTTGGCTAGCAATGGAGTATGCATCTGCCAGGGTATCCAAGCACAGAAGGGTTCCTTGACAGAATGCACACCAAGCCTTGGAATAGTGACTAGATTCAGTAGCCAGTGCTGTGGGAGAACCCCAGTAACCTGGGGGCTACGTCTACACTGGCCCCTTTTCCGGAAGGGGCATGTAAATTTCACCAGTCGTCGTAGGGAAATCCGCGGGGGATTTAAATATCCCCCGCGGCATTTAAATAAAAATGTCCGCCGCTTTTTTCCGGCTTTTAAAAAAGCCGGAAAAGAGCGTCTAGACTGGCCCCGATCCTCCGGAAAAAGTGCCCTTTTCCAGAGGCTCTTATTCCTACTTCAAAGAGCCTCCGGAAAAGGGCACTTTTTCCGGAGGATCGGGGCCAGTGTAGACGCTCTTTTCCGGCTTTTTTAAAAGCCGGAAAAAAGCGGTGGACATTTTTATTTAAATGCCGCGGGGGATATTTAAATCCCCCGCGGATTTCCCTACGACAACTGGTGAAATTTACATGCCCCTTCCGGAAAAGGGGCCAGTGTAGACATAGCCGGTGTGTGTGTGTGTGTGTAATATGTTCCCATTGCAGTATCCCATCTAGTTTCTTGATGGCTGCATGTGCTGAACATATTTGCAAGCTGAGGGTGGTTCCTCGTAAACAAGATGCAAAGTTGGAACTCAAACAGTGTGGAAGCTTGGTTTTTTTAATAAATGCAGTCTGTTTAAAAGACTGATTCTATGTATCTTAATAGAGTTTCTGCCCCTTCTGGAATTTCCCACACTGTCCACATTTTAATGGAGTTCTTCTACATACTGCAGTTTACATGGCAATTGAAAGGTTCCCAGATCAATTCTCAGTCCCTGAGAAATTTCAAACTTTTTTGCTGCATTCCAGAATACTTGTATCCTTCCAAAACTTCAGAATTTCCTGAAGAATGGAAATTCCAGTGTCAGCCTGCACTAGGCCGGGCCAAGATTAGGGTTTGACTTAGAGACCACCCTCCCAAAGCCTGACATAGCAATAGCCCTCAAAAACGCTGCCGCTGGGCTGGCTGGCAACACTGAGAATTGCAAGAGTTAGAATCATAGGATTGTAGGGCTGGAAGAGACCTCAGGAAGTCGATTCCAGCCCAAAGCAGGACCAACCCCAACTAAATCATCCCAGCCAGAGTTTTGTCAAGCCAGGACTTAAAATCCTCTAGGGATGGAGATTCCACCACTTCGCTAGGTAACTCATCCCCCTGCTTCACCACCCTCTTAGTGAAATAGTTTTTCCCAATATCCAACCTCCAGCTTCCCCACTGCAACTTGAGACCATTGCTCCTCATTCTGTGACATGTCACCACTGAGAACAGCCTCTCTCCATCCGCTTTGGACCTCCCCACCCTCATTCAGGAAGTTGAAGGCTGCTATCAAATCCCTTCTCACTCTTCTGCAGACTAAACAAGCCCAAATCCCTCAGCCTCTCCTCGTAGGTCATGTGCTTCAGCCCCCTAAGCATTTTCATTGCACTCCACAGGACCCTGTCCAATGTTTTCACATTCTTTCTATAGTGGGGGGGCCCAGAACTGGACACAATACTCCAGATGTGGCCTCACATATGCTGAATAAAGAGGAATAACAACTTCCCTAGATCCACAGGAAATGCGTCTCTTAATGCACCCCAGTATGCCATAGCCTTCTTGGCTACAATGGCACACTGACTCATATCTAGCTTCTCATCCACTGTAATCCGCAGGTGTATTTCTGCCAAGTTTCTGCTTAGCCAGTCAGTCGCCAGCCTGTAACAGTGCTTGGGATTCTTCTGTCCCAAGTGCAGGATTCTGCTCTTGTCCTTGTTGAACCTCATCAGATTTTTTTTTGCCCAATCCTCTAATCTGTCCAGGTCACTCTGGATTCTCTCTCTCTCTCTGCCCTCCAACGTATCTACCTCTCCCCCTAGCTTAGGGTCATCTGCAGATTTGCTGACGATGCAATCCATCCCCTCATCCAGGTCATTAATGAAGATGTTGAACAAAACTGGCCCTAGAACAGCACCTTGGGGCACTCCACTTGAAACCGACCACCAGCCTGACATCAAACCGTTGATCACTACCTGTTGAGCCTGACAGTCTAGCCAGGTTCCTGTCCACCTTACAAGCCATTTATCCAATCCATGCTTCCTTAACTTGTTGGCAAGAATTACGTGAGAAACCATATCAAAAGCTTTGCTAAAGTCGAGGTGTATCACATCCACTGCCTTCCCCATGTCCATAGAAGGCAATCAGGTTGGTCGGGCATGACTTGCCCTTGGTGAATCTGTTGACTATTCCTCATCACTTTCCTCTTTTCCAAGTGCTTCAAAATAATTCCTTTAGGATCCCCTCCATGATTTTTCCAGGGACTGAGGTGAGGTGAGGCTCACCGGTCTGTAGTTCCCTGGATTGTCCTTCCCTTTTTTTTTTTTAATATGGGCACCACATTTGCCTTTTTCCAATAGTTTAGGATCTCCCCTAATCTCCATGAGTTTTCAAAGGTAATGGTTGCAGTGACATCTGCCAACTCCCTCAGTACCCTCGGATGCATTAAATCTGGCCCCATGGATTTGTGTATGTCCAAATTTTTTAAATAGTTATTAACCTGTCCTTTCTCCACCAAGAGCTGCCCACCTCCTTCCCATTCCATACTGCTTAGTGCGGTAGTCTGAGAGCTGAACTTTTCTGTGAAGGCAGAGGCAAAAAAAGCATTGAGTACTTCGGCTTTTCCCACATCATCTGCCACTAGGTTATCTCCCTCCTCCAGTAAGGGTTCCACACCCTCCCTTATCACCCTCTTACTGCTAACATGCCTGTAGAAACCTTTTCTTGTTCCCCTCACGTCCCTTGCTAGCTGCAATTCCAATTGTGCTTTGGCCTTCCTGGTTGCTCCCCTGCATTTTTGAGTAATATATTTATACTCCTCCCTGGTCAACTGTCCAAGTTACCACTTCTTGTAAGCTTCCTTTCTGAGTTTAAGCTCACCAAGGATTTCACTGCTAAGCCAAGATGGTCGTCTACCACGTTTACTTTTCTTACTGCGCATTAGGATGGTATGTTCCTGTGCCTTAAATAAGGCAGCTTTAAAATACTGCCAGCTCTCTTGGACTCCTTTCCCTTTCATGTTAGCACCCCAGGGAATCTTGCCCATCCGTTCTTTGAAGGAAGGAAAGTCTCTGCTTTTCTGAAGTCCAGGGACTGTATTTTGCTACTCTTCTTTCTTTGCCAGGATCTTGAAATCGACTCTCTGATGATCACTGCTTCCCAGTTTGCCCCCCACCTCTATTTCCCCTACTAATTCCTCCCTGTTTGTGAGCAGTGGTTGTTGTGTCCTGTTTGGTAAAAACCAAAACACACACACTATTGATTCTGCCTAAGTTGATGATCTTTCCTGTGGTAGCGAATCAACAGGCATGTGCCTTGGAGAATAAAAATAGTTACCCAGGAGACAGATCTCGCTTTCAGACTGCCAAGAGCTTGTTACAAAGAGTTGAGCTGAGTAACAGATCTTAGGCAATTGGGGGCAGAGCCTGTCTATCACTCTATATTTGTATAGGGTCTAGCACAATGGAGCCCCCAGACACTATCATTATACAATAAGTAATAATATGGACCAGTTGTGCACTAGCCTATAGTAATGAATGAGCCCAGAACAGTAATTGGGGTGGGGGGTACCATGTAAGGAAAAGGGGGGGTGATGAGAAATGCTAGGAAAAAAGTCTGTGGATCACCTTTCCTTTCCATTTAACTCAGTCCTGCATTGTACAGTCTCTATATTTGAACCCACTGTCCAACATACTCAGAAAATCTGTGATGAGAGACTGTGTGTACCTAGACAGAGCACATGTCTGAATTCTTGACAAAAAATCAGCACCAGGAACCCCCGCATCCTAGGAGCAGGTTGGGTCAAGATCTAAACCTTTGTGCGGTGTGGAGTGGTGGGGTTGCGTGTTAGTCCTGGATCACAGTATCAAAGGGAAATTGTTACTCAGCCACTGCAGTCTGAGGTTTGGGAGGGAACAGATGTTTGTGGTTCTGGCAGTGCGAGTATCAGGGCCCTTTCAAAACACAATGGCGCAAATATAGCGCTCAGAAGGAATTTTACAGAGAGCTTCCAACCTTGATGCCCTAGGGCAGCCATAGCCAACCTGAGGCTCGTGAGCCACATGTGGCTCTTCCCCCTCCCCCAGGGGACTCGCAAAGCCTCCCTCCCCATCCCTGTGGCTTGTAAGCTGCCCCCTCCTCCCAGCTCCCTGCCCTGACCTGGGCAGGGGAGCCATCCAGTGAGGCCATGAAAGCTGTAGAATTAAAGATGGCCACGGGAGCCTCCTGTGGCCCAAAAGCCCCAAAACGCATTTAAATGCATTTTCTTAAAGGGGCAGACCCTTTTTTTCCCTCGACCAAACGTGACCGGGGACCTTCTTAAGGGGCAGTGGTGTCGGGGGGGCGGGTTCCCCTCGACATCTTGGTGCTGGATCCACTGCTATTTTGGCTCTTTGCCCAGAATGGGTTGGCCACTCCTGCCCTAGGGGGCCTAAGAAGAACTTGGCTTTCTGCGTGAGTGCCCTGACAGCCCTCTCCTTCTCTAATGCCTCTTTCCTGATCTTCTCTCCCCCATCTCTCTCTCTATGGAAAGGCCTGGGCCATCGCCAGCGGAAAGTACAACGAAAAGGTGAAAGATCTCGCCAAGTGGAAAACCAACTTCCGTTGCGCTCTGAGAAGCACAAACAAATTTCAGCTGGTGCAGGATAACTCAAAGGTCTCCGAGGACCCCCACAAAGTATATCAAATCATCAGCCCAAACTCCCATGCTGGGGCAGCAGCTAATGCCCCAACAGCAAAAAGTAACTATGCTGGAGGTACGTGTAGAAGGCAGGTGCAAATAGGCCTGGCTCTGATCTGAGCCAGTCCAGAGCCAGTCTGAATGGAACACAGTCACATGGGAGAGATGGAATTTTAGGCAACTGCCTTTTAAAAAGGCCATTGGGTGGTGAATAAGAGGGGGGGTACTTTCCAAAAAGACGTCTCCCAGTGTTCTCCATCAATGGGAGCTGCTGAACAATCTTGAAAACCAGGGCCGGTGGCCTGGCTGGAATAATCCTGGTGCTTAGTTCTGGATGTTTTCAAGGCACATCTTACTGCTGTGGCTTTCTGCTCTGCGGCAACCCGGGGAGCCAAACTCTGAGTTAGACACATTAACTGGTGCACAACTCGAGACACCACAAAGGGACCTGGCTTACAGACCCTTTCTGAATCTTCCCTCCAGAAATTAGAGTTTTTAAAGGGTCTCAAGCTGGGCACCCTAATTCACCAGTCCCTTTGGAGACTTTCTGCTTTTGGTGTCCCCAGTTGGGCTCCTGAGAGCTTGAGGGAACCCCAGTTTGTGGTGACTTTTCAAAATGCGCGCCTTACACTCTGAGGAAATCCCACTTCTTGGAACTGCGGGTCCTGTTTAAGTCCCCATGTTGGAAATTCCATTTGCTAAAACTGCTGGATTTTCCCCTCCCCGTGCCGGTGTAATTTGCTGTGTCTTTTAGACAATCTGCCTGACAGCGAGGAAAACAACAGCCCCCTTTCTAAAGAAGCCCTTCCTCTGCACTGCCTTACTCCACAGCTGCTGCAGGTACCAGAACTGGGGATGGGAAAAGCTGGGGAACTGTTCTGCTTGGAGGAGCCCTGGGGGAGGGCAGAGGGCAAAGAGGGCAGTTGTCCGAGGGCCTAGACTTACTGGCCACCACCACAATAACCAGAGCCTTGGGCCCCTTTGAATGCTGCATGCTTCAGGCAGTGCTGAAAGCTGGGGGAGGGGTGCCAAATTCCTGGTGGCACAGAAGTGGCTCCGCCCCTTCCAGAAAACTGTTCTGCTTGGAGGAGCCCTGGGGGAGGGCAGAGGGCAAAGAGGGCAGTTGTCCGAGGGCCTAGACTTACTGGCCACCACCACAATAACCAGAGCCTTGGGCCCCTTTGAATGCTGCATGCTTCAGGCAGTGCTGAAAGCTGGGGGAGGGGTGCCAAATTCCTGGTGGCACAGAAGTGGCTCCGCCCCTTCCAGAA